TAAACGCGTGTTAATCCGCGTGTAACAAAAGTGATTAACTGGTGTCTAGGATCCTGACGCGATCTAGAACTACCTTCTAGATCTTTAACAATTTATAAAAAACCCTCCTTAAAAGTAGTGAGCCAATCTAGCGATTGTGTGTCAGTAAGTGACATAGGACAAAATTCTATGCCCTGATTTCTCACACTAATTACTTTTAAAATATTTTTAAAACCGCTAAAACGAATTACTGCATGTTATCTTCTGAATGCTTAACATCATTACCATTAAACTTTCTGTCAGGAAAGTATCCTACAAAGAATTGAAGAAAAGCATGAGCGTTGCATATTTTTTTATATTTAATGACCCGAAAATTTATTGCAAAAATATTTATATTTCTGATGAGTCTGAAACAGTTTTACAACCAGTAATGGTTAAAAACCACAATAAACACTGGCATTATTTTGAATCCTTGCGAAAAATTTTCTTGGACACCCATTAATGTATTAAAATTGAAAATCCTAACTTTTCTTCAGTATTCTTTCTGTGAGATCCAGCCTGGGATACAGGGTAATTTGTTGCGCCTGTATCACTTAATAGGCGATCTAGTTCGTGAAACTAGTCTCAGTCGTCTACAAGAACGGCCTTTCCCAAACTTAGGGAAACGAGTGTGGAGGGTCTTACAGTTAATATTTTAAGCGGAAATTAGGAATGGCAAATTTTCCTTCTTCCTTATGTCAGGGTCCCGACACCAGTTTATCTACTTTGCGTAACGCGGATAAACACGCGTGAAATTTATGTCGTAGATCTGATTCAGGAAATAATAATACAGAGACATCTCTTAACAAAGTATATAGAATTTAATAAAGAAATAAACAATATTAATACAGAATAAGAAATAATCAGTAAATTCAAACGGTCAATCAAAGAACGAATAATCATATCAATCGCAACAGGGGGAAATCTATTCTTAGTCTATAACCCTTTCGAGAGAGAAATGTATTCTCAAACTATACATTTATGAGAGAGAGAGCTCACAATTTAGTCTTAAACATACAATCTGTTTACTTGGCAGAGTCGTCTTTTTATTCGGTGAAGGAACTTCATTGATAACTTAGGATTAACTTGTTAGGGGATGACGATGCGTTGGTCTGCTGGCATATGTACGGAGTCCTTTCATTCTCCGATCTACGGTCGAACTCTTAAGGCGTTGGCCTTAGAGAACAATTGAATGGAGTCTTGTCACTTTCAGAACTCCTAAGGGCGATGTGGAGCCAATATGGGAGACGTCTCTCCTCTATGAGATTTTCTGACGAACTCCCCGAATTCGGTTGAACTTCGCATATATCTTCTGATTTACGACCAATTATCAGTCGAGGCTTTATCCACGTGGACGGATGGGAAGGGGTAGAAATGAGGGGTAGATAGTTCCCATCGAAGCGAGATTTTTAGCAGAAAAGGGAAAATCAGAGGATGCTCATGCTTCCGTCAAAGGAAGTGACTCTCCTAGCTGTTTTCCCACGCTAGAAAAACGATATTTTTCCATCCAAATGAAGAATATTTTTTGGGAAAGATTTTACTTTCCTTTTAAATTATTATTTTAGACCCGGGGCTATTCGGATCTCACATTTCTTATATAACAACAAAATAAATTTTCATATAATATTAAAAAATTATTGTCATTATTTTACGGCACTTAAAAATATACTAATATAAATTGTTAAAAACAGTCCGGATAGTAATAAATAGCTACGATTNAATTATTATTTTAGACCCGGGGCTATTTGGATCTCACATATATAATAATTTTTATGTTAGAATAAAGAACTCTTTATTCATACTACTTAAATAGATAAAATAAAAAAATTATCAAAATAATATTTGTACAAAAAAATAATTTAATTAAAACTTACCACAGATCTTTCTTGTAACAATTTCATATAATTTGCAAAACTAACCCAGGGACCGAATATTATGGAGCCAACACAGAAGTAATAACCAATACATTCAATCAATGAAGGAAATTTTAGTGAACAATCAATATCAAAACCTAGAGAAATGATTTTCATAGCTAAAATCATTTGTGACCCTAAAAACAAAGAAAGCTTATATTATAATACAATAAACTTTATTTTCTTTGTTTTACAAAATACAAATGATCAGAATTAAATGACAAATGCTATCATTGATTTATTCATTATACTCATAAGGGAAGACTTCAACTTAAAATTGAGTTTTGCCTTGAACCTTTGTATTTAACCTATTTTAGAATTAGAAAAACACTATACATTGTGATAATTTATGCAAATATATATGTCAACTATTATGAAGGGTTAGATGTTAAATTTTGTAAATGACCTGTAAATGGACCTATACATGGAGTCAAAATTAAATCATCATTGTACATTGTCATTTGTCAGAGAAAAAAGAGAGAGAATGCCAGTTCAAAGAGATTCTGTTTATTAATCTAAATTGTGATCAAATGCTTCATGAGTGATTGACAATTTACAGCCATGTTTTAGAAAATGGAGATAAAAATAACTTTAAATCTTTTGAAAGTGTCTTGAAGCCAATATTCATAATAAAAATAGCTCACTACGCAATAAAAAAGCAACACATTGCTTTTTTATTGTGTACTCATTGTGATAAAACACTTTGCCTTGGCCATCTTATTGGCAAAAATGTTCCACAATTTTATGCTAAAAATTAAGCTCTTCACAATAAAATTTTTTGTTCCCATTACAAAACACTATTACTTACATTGGCTCATACTGTTTTTGTTATGATTAAATTTTGTCATAAAACAGGTACCACCTCCAAAAATGATTTATAAAACGGTGAATTTTTACCCTTCTCGAAATGGCTGATGTGTACATTTGTGTAAATTCTCACTAGATTCATTATTTTTATCATTGCTAAAATGGGTTAAATACAAAATTTCATGACAAAATGTGATTACAAGTTGGAAGCCTTCTCTTGTCAGAAGTTTAACAGCAGCAAGAAAATTGATGTTAATTCTTTTTTAATAATTTGAACAACACATAATACAGAAAAGAATGAAATATAAAATACTATCTGTTATTTAAAACCTGTAAATAATTTTAATTATTGGTAAAGATGAAAATGTTTATGTTTTCTTGTATATGTTGTGGAAAAAGCAATTAATCAGGCATTATGAATAATGACCAAAAAGGCACGCAGTGTGATAAATATTGATTAATTTATCAAATTGACCAGTCATTATGAATACTGCTATCACCTAGTCAGGCAAAGTGATATTAATACATTGAGGAGTGATCATCCGACATATGCTAGTCAATACGCTACCAATTTTACCTATGTGCACCATCATGGCAGCAGTCGTGACTGTTTGTGCTCTCAACGAATTCCTCCCAGAGGGGAGCCGCCAGCAGGCCGCCGATTGTTTAACATTACCAGTTATTGATATGCGTGTTCAACAACTACCGTGAATCAATAACTAGTGTTGTTAAACAATCGGCTGTCTGCTGGTGGCTGCCCCTCCAGGAGGAGTCTGTCAGGAGCACAAACAGTCGCGATTGCCATCAAATTCGGTACTAAACGCAATACAGTACACACATGCAACTCAGATGTGAGTGCTGATTGGCTAGTGTATGTCGGATAACTCCTCAAAGTATTATTATCAATTTGCCCAACTAAGTGATAGCAGTATTCATAATGACCAGTCAATTTGATAAATTATTGAAATTTATTACAATGTCCAATTTTGTTGGTCATTATGAATAACGCCCGTATTAATCACTTGGTCCATAACATATATACTAAAAGTTCCAGTTTATTTGTTTGTATAGTGTGTAATTCAAAATAACTTTTACAACTTTAAAAGCATGTAGAATTTTAATCAAAAGACTTAAAGAATCTGTTTCAATTAAAAGTTGAATGTTTTACAAAATAAATTCATATATTTCAACATAAAAGATACAAGTATATAACAATAATGTTAATACTTCAGACATTTATACATTTTTAACTATTTAAAAAAAAACTTATAACTATAACATAACAATTTTAATATTAATTACACAGGTCTGCAAGTAAAAAACTGCATAGGATTTTCATACATTTTCTTATAGATTTCAACTTGGTAAAAACAAAAAAAATACCAAAAAAATTCCATCTTGTCAATTTTTTTTTATTACACTCAAGTTTTTGTTTGTATTTAGTGTAAAATTCCTAGTTAACTTAAAATTTAGTATTTTTATTTATTTATTTAAAAAATGGCCTTAAAATGAAGACTTCTCACATTAATTATATAAATTATAGCTGGACTTAACTATAAATAAATAAAAAATGTTAATAGTTGAAGAGAGTAATGGTAGGGGAGGTGGGTTAAGTAGTTTTAGCGTTAGGAGGAAGGTTGCATGATCGTGTAGAAACAGGTTAAAAGTTGATAGTGAGTAATATTACTGGTGAGGTTGAGCATGTTTTGACATGTTATCTGGGATACTAGGAATAAATATAAACAACCTGCTGTTGGATTACATCATGTTTCAACAAGCTAAATAATTTTGGTATCTCGCTGGCCATCTAATGCCACACTCAGTTTATATCTAGCATTCGAACACTACTGTGCTTGTATTTTTATTTCTGGAATATGGCTCGCAGGTGTGTAATTTCTCCCAACAACTCCTGTTATGTTTGTAGTGAATACACAGTGAAAAGTCAACATCCCCTTTATCTTTACCCGATTCCCTCTTTTTGGAAACAATGGGAGAAAAGGAAAAAGAAGCATGGAACCCTTTCAAGAATGTAGTGCATAAGTTTTTGGGGAATACCAAGGACCCTGACTACAAAACCATTGTACAATGCATGCTGGCAGTGTATGAAGTTCAAGGATGCAAGATGAGCTTAAAAGTTCATTTCTTACACTCCCATATTGACTATTTTCCCAAAAACTTGGGAGTCTGCAGTTAAGAACAGGGTAAAAGATTTCACCAGGATGCCCGTGATATCGAGAGACATTACCAAGGAAAATGGGATGTCAGTATGTTAACTGACTACTGTTGGATGCTCAATTGAGAAACCAGAGAAGGAAATCGGAAACGAGTTCAGAGAAGCATCAAAGAGAAGAAGAAAAGATGTCATAAGAAAAAAAAATACACCTAAAATTGTATATAAATATCAGAAACAATTTTTTGATTAGTTGTAAGAAAATATAATATATTTAATTCATTTTGTAATAAATAAGAGTTTTTATCAAATATTTGTTTTTATTTTGCAAAAAACCTATACGTCATGGGATGTTATGGAAGTCATTTTTAGAATCTCTGATCTTTAAAACATAATTCAGCAAAAATGTCCCATGCAACTGGAAAAAAATTTTTTTGCAGACCTGTGTTATTAGTCTTATAGTGTTAATAGTGTTATAGTGTTAATAGTCTTACCTCTTATTCTATGCCACTGAGTTGGAATAACAATGAATAATTCACTATAATGAATATTGAAAAAAAATTAAAAACTTGAAGCTTCTTAAAAATATTAAATTTTACAATTTTAAAAACAATTTATAAATTTAATTATAATTAATAAACTCACCAAATAATTAAAAATGTAAAACATACTGCGAAACATACATAACCACAGTACCTCCTCAATGTTATATGTACAATTGCTAGTGTTAAATACCCTATTATTGCTAAAATAATTACATAGATAATTAATTCTTCAAAAAAATAATAAAGACAATACAGTCCAGTTCCAGCCGATGTTAAATGTATCACACTTGAAGGAAGATAATCTAATAAAAAGAAACAAATATTTTATAATAAATTTGTTTATCAACTATTTTTATCCTAAAACTAAAATTTTTATGAAAAACATACAAATTAATTATTTAAATAAATCGACTTCTTAATAAAAAAAAAAAATTATAAACATAAAAGCATTTTATCTTTGATACAATCTTCAAAAAACTGGATAGATATTAAAAGATAACACTCACCAATACCAAAATCTAGCAAACAGAAAACTTTTACTGTAAACTAATGTTTTCATCCATATAAAATGGACATCTTCAGGTTTAATTCCGCAGAATAGAACAGTAAAGTTAAATTAAACATTTAGAATTCTCAAAGCATTTCTAAAATAAGCAGAACATCTTTAAGAACATGAGTTTAATAATGTGTGAATGAAAATGTTAGTTTACAGTAAAATTTGCTGCATTTTTGTGTTGGCAAGTGTTATCTTTGATTTTATCTTCTATAGTTTCAATTTTTTTCTATTATGATAATGTAATCTTATATAAGAATCAAATTAAGAAATAATGATAACAAATGCATATTACAATTCAATAAGCATAAATATCTATAAAGTGGAAATTTATGTTTTCAAATTTTTAAATTAATATTTTAAATAATTCCTTGCAATTTAGTCTAGATTCACCTTATATTTTAATAATTTCATAAAGCTGTCTTATTTCATAATAATTTTTTTAAAATTTTGACAACTATTTTAACTGTCCAAATTAAAATAATATTGTTAAAACAGAATTTTTAAATTATATTCTCTGATAATGTTTAATTTTACATTAAAAATAAAAACAGAATTGAAGTCTTTCACATACATCCTTTACTTTTTTAAAACTTATTGTTTAGTGTTCTGCAAAATTAATTCTAAGAAAAGACAGAATGTTCCTTATTTGTTTGTTTTGTTAAGTTACAGAAATGCAACACTTGGGCGATCTACCTAGGGCAGGCATGGCTGACATACGGCCTATCTAATGAATTTATGCAGCCTGCAATTAATCTTTCAATACTAGCTACTCAAGTCTGAATAGCTTGAAAAATTCTGACGCCTAAAAAAAAAAAAGGTCAACAACTCACTGTGCATTTAGAGTTAACGCTCCATTACAAATCTCTCAAGTACAGCATAGAATGTTGATAATGCATGATAATGTAAAAAATGTATCTGTAATCTCTATGTACAATTTAGTCTCTACGGGGTGACACCACAATGAGATCTCGCACCACCTTAAAATCTTCCTAGGACAGCCTCTGGTTCGGCCTGTGAAAAAACTTTTCTTTCCAATTCGGCCTGGGGGCAAAAACTGTTGGCCACCCCTGACCTAGGGGATGCCTTCTGGGTGGACTTTTTAAGGATAACTGGCCTCTATTCAGGCATTACAGATGTGAAGAAAACCTGGAAAACACCATGTGGCCAGCCCATGCACGAACTCACGACTAAACTCCTAGTGTTCAGGGAACAAAACTGCTTGGCCACTGGTGGGCCCAGAATGTTCCATGAATGTTAAAAGTTTGAAGACCACTGCTTTATATGATTCAATTTCTTTTTGTATTCATTAGATACTGAAATCATATTTAACTGTTCATTTATAATATATCTATCTATCCTTACTACTTGCAGTCTTTATACAAAATTATTTTTAAATCATTAACATTTGAAACATTAAATATATTCAATATATTTATTTAATTAAAATTTACATAATATAAATATAATTGTATATGAAATTTATATTGTATATATTCAAAAGTACTCACTTAATGATTTTATAAATTTTAATAAAAGACAACACATAAGCAGACGAAAGGAAGAATTAAATCCATCGTTCAAAGTTGGATGAAGGCAATCTTCCCAAATATTCTGTATTGAATAAGTTATTTCTATATTATCTTGAAAGTAATTTGCATCCATTTCTTCCAAGTACACTTGATCATAATTATCTTCCACATCATCATATGGATAAGAATCCTCATACATTTCCTCCATCATAAAAAAAACCTTTAAATAAACCAATAGCATTTATAAGTGGCTTAAATTCAATGATTTGAATTAAGTTCAGATTAGAAAGGTTCACAAAAGTATTATTAAAATGTATTATTAAATTATAATATTAAAATAAACTTTCTGTAATTTTTTCACAAAATTTGCCATTTGTAAGTGTGATTTCCTTAAAACTGCAATATCAAAAATATGTATTTACCAGTATTTAAAATTTCAAATAAAATTCTCCACTTTTAGGAAAGTTTTACAACAAGCATCATTATCAATTTATATAAATCATACATATAATATAGGCATCTTTTAATTTAAAAAAAATTGAAAGTTGACTAATCCTTAAAACAGAGATTACAATTAGGATTTCTGCAAGACTGTAGTAAACATTCATGATGATCAACTTTCAAAATGATAAACTAGAACAGGAGACATTGTCATTTTACACTTGCTGAAATATCTGTGAAAACAGCTTTTTCTTGTGTGTTGTTTCGTGTTTTTACAACTTTGAAAAAATGTGCTTATTCTGAGTGAATGAAGAAGTCGTTTTGCATTATCATTTTATCATCAATTGCACAACAGTTCATATTGGCAAGTTTTGCATTAATGAAAATCAATAACATTATTTAAAAGTCAAAAAAATTATCTAAACCAGACACGTTCTAGGTAGTGTATTCATCCTTCTAACAATTATTTATTTATTTGAGAAATTCAGAACTTTAGCATGACAAGAAACAACAACAAAAATTTTGCAGAAGGAAATACAAGAAGTTGATTGATTTGTGATAATTCCAAACTGCAAGTAGCAGACTCTTAATAATCAACAGATGTAGAATATTTAGACAGTTACAATGATGGACAAAAGTATTGATGCACAGCCATTTCTTAAATTTTCTTGTATAAATTTAATAGTAAAAAACTTTCTAGCCTTGTGAAATTTTCACATAATAATTAGATGTTTTTTATCACATAATAACACTAAACAAAAATATTATTTATGTATTTTTGGCTTTGAAAACTTAGATAGTATATTTATATACATGATTTGAATGGACAAAAGTATTGGCAGTAATGATATTTAAGCAAATTAGTTTTATCCATGTCATTTTTTATGGTCAGTATGGTAAATATATGAATTTCAATGTTTCTTTTAACCTTATCAGGTATGAAAATTATTGTTATTTCAATCTAGTTGTTATTACCAAAATGAATAATGGAGGTACTGAAACAATAGAAGAAAAAAATTATTGAACATTTATGTAGTCTTAACAAATCATATTCAGAAATTGGGAAAAACAGTTAAAAAGAGTAGGTTTACTGTAAAAAATGCAATTAAGCATTTTAAATCAACTCAAAGCTTGGAAAATAAACCAAGATTTCAACAAGGTGGTTCATCCGAAAACTGTCTGCTGAATCCTTCATCATGCTAGTTATAGAATGAGATTAACCAGAAGAAAACCATATACAGTGATACCTCAGTTTTCGTCAATAATCCATCCATAAATAATCGGCAAAATTCAAAACCGACAGAAACCGAGGCAATAATTTCCATATGAATCAATGTAAATCCAATTAATTTGTTCTAGACATTCCAAAATATATACCAAAAATACATTTTATAGAGAATAAATATAGTGTTTAATACTAAAAACAATAAGAAATTAATATAAATGAATATAAAAGCAACTGATTTCAGCAATCTTAATGCTCTTGCATTTTTCAATGATTTCCTTCAATTTGATCGTGTTCCTGACCTTCTTCGAAGGGCTGCTCACACTGGAAACTTTCTTTGGTCTCATGATGGAGCTAAAAAAAAAGGAAAGCAATGGAATTATTTGGCTAGATATGCAGGGTAATGCTCACACAATGAGAAACAAAGCCACAATGAACAGAAAAACACACGGGTCTCCCTTTTCACAAAATTAGCAGTGAGGTCATGTGGGCAGGTCAACAAAATCCAAGATAAATTTTTCAACAAAAACTGAAACTGATGATAGCTGAAGTCAACAAAAACTGAGGTATTACTGTATAAGTAAAATTAATTGAAAGAATAAGCTTGTTTTGCAAAAGAACATATAAAGATAATTCATTTTGGTCTAAAGTGTTGTTTTCAGATGAAAATAAATTCACTTTAATTTGTAACAATGGAAAAAATTTACAAGAATTGTCCCAAAAGTAATGCACAGTTGGCTCTAACTCGAAAAATATTTATTGAAGAAGATACAAGTGATTACAGGCCTTCAAAATAATCCCCTCCTTTATCAATGCATGCTTGCCAGCGGCACAGAAGTGCTTGGATTCTGTTTAGTGTCCTCTTCTTATTCAGCATCCGAATCTGTCAGGTCACTTCTCTTCGGAGCTCTTCCAGCATCGGAAAACACCCCCCCAAAGGGGTTCCTTCAGCTTGGGAAAGAGATCGAAGTCAAGTGGGCTCAGATCAGAACTATAAGCCAGGTAGTGGAGCTATTCCCAGCCGTATTTTTTGAGAAGTTTGATGATTGGCTGCCGCCACGCTGCAACCTTTCATTTGCCTAGCACCTGTGTTAAAATACGATGCACACTCGTTTTTGAGATTCCTGTCTTTGCCTCAATTTTTCCTACTGTGATTCTCCGGTTTTCATTGAGCAACGTTGCAATGATTGAAGTGTTTGTATTGTCAGCTGTTACAGTAAACGGCCGCCCCGCATGCAGATCGTCTTCAATGCTTGTTCGACCATCTTGAAACTTCGTGTGCCACCTCTGTACTGTGCTACGATTCAAAGTAAACCTTCCACACACTTCTTTTAATGCGGCATGAATTTCAGACACTTTTTACCACACACTGTTTTGATGAGAATATATGCACATTGCTCAATTGCTGAAATCCGACCTGACAGACTATTCTCATTGTCTTTTCGAATTTTTGGCATTTTTTCTTTAAACTACCATATGATACCAATGTGTTCATAAGACTTCATTCTATACACTGACACTTTGATCAGCTGTCTACGTTGCCTACAATACCTGCTAGAGTGCGCTGTGAATTACTTTTGGGACAACCCTCGTACTTTGGAGAAGAAAACCACAGAGTTGCAAGAAAAGAATGTTCAATCCACAATAAAACATAGGGGTTGTAGTGTGATGGTTTGGAGTTGCATGTCGGCTACTGATGTGGGAAAACTTGTATTCATAAGCAGTACAACAGATAAAAATGATGTATTTAAATATCCTCAAGAAAAATCTTCAGTAAAGTGCAAATAAACTAAATTTGGACAATGACTTTTATGTCTGTTATGATAATGACCATAAACACACATGGCTCATATTGTCTGTCAATGACTACTTTATCATATACCTCACACTCTGAAACATACCCCACAATCTCAGGATTTGAATCCTACCAAACATTTATGGAAACAAATTGATGATAGAGTGAGGAAACAAGAGAGATTCAACTTAGATTATTTCAAAGACTTCTCATTGAATAATGAGAAAAAATTTCCTCTGAAATCATGGAAAAACTAGTGCATTCAATGCCAGAGAGACTAAGAGCAATTATTAAGAACCAGGACTATTACAAAATATAAATTTTAATATATTTTTAGTATTATCTTCAACTGTGTCAATACTTTTGTCCTTTGTTTTGATGTGTAGAAAACTTCATCAATTTTTTAACAACATATCATCATGGTATTTTACTTTAAAATTTTGTAATATACTTTATATTATTCTTAATTATGTATATATGATTTTTATTTTGAAAACAGCTACTTTATTCTATCTATATTTCACTATAAATTCAAAAATACAGGGTGCACCAATATTTTTTTTCATTCCTGTATATAGTTCATCTTTTGTTAAAAAAAAATGTGAAGCTTTACAATTCCCAAAGTCTGTGTAAAAACAAATCAAACGTAAAAGGATTTCCTAGCAATAAGATCGTCAATGTATTCAAAATGGCTAAAATTATAAAGTAATGGCATTACAGAACAACAATGTATCCAGGGGATGCTTTTGGTGCTTCAGCACACCTAGATACCAAAGAAATGTTTTATTACTTTAAATAAATAAAATAATGCATATTGCACAATTACAGTTAGCTAAGATTGGAACTAAACTGTAAAACTAAAATAATTCTAAGGTAATTGAGTAACATTCTCCAAAAAATGGCAGGATACATATGCCTTGAGTAACACCATACTCTTAAAACTCTGGATATGCCATTGTTACAGAATGACACCTGATTCCTATGCTAGGAATATTTCAGCATGAGAAGCAAACATAAATTCAGAAAAATATGATAATATTAAGAAATAGATATTTCATAAATTTAACATTTGAAAAGAACTGTCAAATGTAACAAAGAAGCAACTTTTAATAGTTTGGTTACAATCTCATAAGCCATGCTCAATCTGGGGTCATAGTCAACTACTATCCATTTATGATTTTGAGTTTTTGTTCATAGTTGCATCCCATGTTTCTAGTTGATAGCACATTAGCACGTAAGGTTGTAAATTAATACCTACATTAGCATGTTCTATAGAAAAGAGGCTTTTTAAGGCTCTTTTCTATACAACGTGCTAATGTAGACAACCCAACCATACATAAACTTTTAATAGTCTAGTCAATGATATAAAATATCATTTTAACAAAGAATCAATAATTAATTTTGGGTTACTTTTTACCAAAAGAGATAGTTCTAATCATAGATTTTGTCTATCATAAAATGAAATTCAGAACTTAAAATAATCAGAAAAGTAGCACAGAGTAACACGTGGTTATTTAGATTTTTTCCTTTTAAAAATGAATTTTCATTGGATCCTTAAGATAAAACGTCATTTTGATGTTTTTCTGATAGGAAATGACGTCAAAATGACGTAAAGTGTACATTACACTACTAAAATTT